TCCACAATTTGGCAAGTGAAAAGTCCTAAAAAAGTATTTGGTGTGTATTCTGGTTAAGAAACTATATGGAAAAAATCCTTGTGGTCACCAAGTTTTAAGCACAACTTGAAGGTGATTTGATGTTGCTTTTTAAAGTAAATACTACAGATGGAGCCACCACTGAGTTGGCATCAGTCAGGTTTGTCAAAGGTGCACACAATTTAACTGTAGATATATCAGAAGAGAAGCCCAGTCTTAGAGGTTTGCAGTTGCTTTTCAGTCCTCATGTAGTTTTCAAGAAATAACATTTGTTCATGATCTTTTATCAATGAGAAAAGATCCCTAGTAAGTTTTCCACAGATTGAGCAAGGAAAGCTGATAGTGACTTATGGTTCATCTTGAGAGATTTTGATTTTATGTGCCATTCAATATCAGAGCCTATCAGAGCCCTATAGCAATTATTTTTGCTTTCTTTGTTGCAGATCAATGACCCTGATCCTGGACTTTGGATAGTGAGTATAAACATGGTTTTGTCCCTTGCTGTGCTATTATGTCCTAACATTTTTACTGAGGTGGTACTTTTTAAAATCCCGCTTTTATTAAGGTGCTTATCAGACTAGGCCTGTTTTCCTTAAGATCAGCTATGATTGGTTAAATGCTGCCACCTGCTGCACATAGAATAAATACCAAACTGGACCTAAAAGCAATTAATGATGGCATCTGGGGGGAGGAATTTAAATTGCAGAATATAGTTTTTCAATTACTGTACTGAAATTTCAAATTAAATACATGCCTCTAGTAAGTAAATAGATTTTATTTACTATCAAAGGCTGCTGCACATGAATGAGCAAAATTTGGTCCTATTGTGCACTTGTAATTGCACTTTTACTGCCATTGCTGAACAATTTTCAGAGCTAACCCTTTGTACAGCAGCCTAATTTGGAGCTTCCTTGAGAGTTCACAGCTGGTATACTGCATCTGCTTCTAATGATACAAATACTATGGAGTGAACTTGAATTACTAATAACAAAACTAAACCTAACACCTAAATTACAGTTCTCCTGCGTGCAGTTTACTTCTCCACATACACTGATTGTTTCCCCAAGCAAACAAAATATTCATAAGAAATAATTTCACTTGTAATCATCACATTTGGCTTGGTAGGTCTGTTTGATGGTGGATGGATGATTTCTTTGGCAAATCATTTCTTTTTGTGAAATGTCAATGGTTTAAAGCACAATGGAACTTTTTTTTTTTTGCTCTTCTAAGGTCTTTATTCCTTTGACAATAAGATACAGCTTTCCTATCTCTCCTGAGGATGCAATTTTGAGGCTTGTTTATTTATCTGGTCTTTGGGATTGAACACTTTCCATTTTCCTTTTTTCTAGTTTCATTTATTTACAAAATATATTTGATATATCTCGCTTTAGGTTGTGTACTCTGTGCCAGCAAGTCTTGCACTGGTAGTAAGCCTTAATCCATCAGTTACAGGTATAGTATTATTGGGCAAAAGTCATCACTCTTCTAATGATAAATTCTGGGTATTCATCTCCTTTGCTTTTTGATAATTTAGCAATAAGGTTTATTGCTCCATCCAACTAACTAAACATTGTTAACTACATTCTTAAACTATGACCTTATATTTGTAAAATATTACTAGGCAATATACTGAACATTGAAATCATAAAATTGTATAAGGGTAGTACATTCTTCCATTTTTGGTAGATGCTTTTTGGAATATAGTTGATGGTTATAATTATAACTCAATTCCTTTTCTAAAAAAAATCTTCACAATTGTGATATTGGAAACAGTATAACTGGACAAAGAGACGGGGAGTTTAGATGTTAAATCACTGCTGGCTTTCAGCTTAATCGATTTTATGGAATTTTTGTGAGAAAAAAGGCAGAGCCGTGAATAGAGCATATTTCAATTCTTTGGTTGAAAAGGCAGCATATGATAGTAACATTTTAAGCATTCTTAGATATGCCTAGCATTCTACATTATATTGTATAAACCCATGTGTTGTTTAGCTACATATGCTTGCATATATATTATATTTAGATGTTTTAATCAACATATTCAAAGTCAATTGAAATCTATCATTTCTGATATTCTCTTCTGCCCTTCTTTCTCTTTTTGGAATGAAGAAACCTACCATATGCTGATTAGTTTCCTTGAGATTTCATAGTATATGGTCATTTCCTTATGTGTTATCTGTATCTAATGTGGCCTGTTAGCTACTCTCTCCTTTCAATATCTCCTATATTTTTAATTTTCAAAATACAGCTGTTTTAGATATATTAACATGCATGAAAAATGCTGCTTCTTGTTTGATGATTCAATTATATGAAATAACTCCCAAATCTAAAGAATTTTTTCTCTGCAATTGTTATTTGAAGGCTCTTGAAGAAATTGATCAAGACAAATGAATTCAATGTGCAAATTCCATTGTGATTTGTACAAATAACTCACCACATTTTCCAGATAACATTGTGTGGAGGAGTATATCAGATCTGCATTCAGCTGCTTGTGTTGTGGGTTCTGCTGTGTTGGGATATTCCTTGGTTACTACTGCTCAAAATAACATCTTGCACGAGGAAGAAGGCAGGTAAGTAATGAGATCTTTTCTGCATTCATATTTTCATGATCATCATAGCTCTTATCCTTAACAATTGTGAGACCCTTAAGGTACTCTAGATCTAAGGAATTAGAATGATTTAAAGCTTTGAAATCCCTAGAACAAATTCCTGAGACACATCATATATTTTGATGTGCCAAGAAAATTAATAGAAAGAAATCGTAGAAAACTTTATGCTGCAATCTAAGCTTATTAACATTTGATACAAAGCATCGAACATAGTCTGATTTTTTTAATGGTGCATACACATATTTTTCAGGTTCATCTGTAGTTGCTATGTAATCTAGTTTTTTTATCTTTAACTAGAATGTTATATTTTATCATGAAGATGCTGAATGTAACCAAACTATAACCAATCTTATTACAATTGATGTATATGTTTTAATATAAGAATGTATGACATTGATTGGATAGTGCCCAAGTCAAGTGAAATGCTTATACCTTGTCTAAAATGGAAGTATCTTGCATTCCCTATCAAACTGTGACTTTGATAGGATTGTGTTAATACTCCCAGCTATTAATGGTAAATTTTCCTCAAGTAGTATTTTTTTCATTTGTAAAATTGCAACTATATTATTTTAGTAAGTATGTGCTTATTCAGTACTAACAGAGTTAATACTGTTGTAACCAGTTTATTTTCTGGGATCAGTTTTGTGTAACTTACACAGTTGTATTTGATTAAAAACAGGGAGTTATTTGGTCTGGTGATTGTTACTGCCTGGATGAGCCTTTGTCGTAATTCAGCCAAGTGAGTCTTTTAACTTGCCAATTCCAGCTTAATAATACATTGAAAACTTGTGCTTACCCTGACAAATATATTATGTAATCAAAGGATGTGCCAAGGATGGCTGATTTTTGCTTCTTATTATAGTTGGAGATGAAGTTCTTTTAAAGAGAAAAGCAAGTTACTTAGTCCTTGATGTGTATTTAGCATAGAGAACTGAATTTTGTTCGAGTAGTTGAGTGGGGAGACAGGAGTTCCAGTTTAGTGGTAGAGTTGACAGTCCCAATTGTGGTTACTGAGGACTAGCTGTATAACTTCTTTATCAATTCCAGAAGTCATGTCAATGTACTTTTACAAAACCAAGAATAATTCATATTTCTGAGTTCTTGTTAATTGGGTTGAATTGGATTGCATTTCAGCAAACTCTGTTTCTTTCCAGAAATTCCCTGGGTGGATTTCACTTGGTCATGGCAATTTTCCTCTGTCTTTCTCCTTTTGTAATGTGGCTATACATCTATGTGAATACAGAAATGCGAGTATCATGGCCATCTCACTGTAAAACTGTTATTTAAAATATTGGAAAGCATCAAGTGTCTTCATTGCTTTGGAGGTTCTCTACTGATGCCAAGTGAATGGGAACCACAATTAAGGCAAATGACTTCCCATGAAGAACAGTTTCTCTAAAGTGCTTCTGAAGACTGAAAATTCAGACATAATTGAAAACTGAATTCTGTGGACTATGACCTTTCCCCCCCACCAACTGTTTTAAGGCTAGTTGTTTCATGGTTTCCATTTTATTAATTGTGTGCTCTTGATAAATGGAAGGGTTTGGACTGAATAAATCAAAGTGCCTCATGTTGAAGCCATGGGACTGAAGCCAGACATGACTGGAAGAACTATATGTTGTATATAATTATAAAATGTAAATAAATATATTAATAATTTGATAAGGATGTTTCTGGTGTCTCTGAAATTCTATCCATTTTTCTCTACATACAACTGCACTACTTAAGATGATTAACATACAATTCTTAATCCATAAGAGAATATCATATTCCATTTAATGTCATAGATTAAAATTTGGAAAAGCGTTTGATGTAGTGCTGGACTCATTCTTCTAAATTATTCTTCACAGAAGCTGTCTTAACTTAAAGCCTATGTGTTTTATAGAGGGCCACCGTATCTGGACTACACATATTTGGATAACTATGAGATTGCAATAGACCTAGAAAAACTATTTTCTGCTGCTCAGCATTGTCTGGCTTTTAGCAGGTCAAATATAGTGATTCCAATACTGATGTGGAATAGCAAGAACTTCCATTGTTAGCACTTTTTGTGTTTTGGTCAGTAAATCCTTGTATCTAATTGTATGTAAATTGTTCTACAACTCATTTTTAATTGAACAAAGTGTATGAGTTTGACAGTCTCATTCTCCATTCTTGTATTTGCAAGAAATTAAATTATCAATTTCTGATATTTATACTTCAATATTGTTTGAATTCTGTCCAAAGGAAAAACTATGAAGAATTACCACTAGAACTCTCAGTCTGAAACTTATTCTTCACTGAAAGTGGTAGTATCATTTCAAGAGAGAGAAAAGTGGTGATATCATGTGAAGGGAGAGAAAAGAGAGAAGCACAATGGTAGGAAGTGTTTTAAATAGAACATTGTTTTACTACAAAATTACAGATGTCAATCCAATTTATTTATTTTTCCAGTCTTCATATCAGCAAACAGAGCTTCCATTCAATTTCCAAATGAGACTTAAACTTGACAGTGAATTCTCCAAAGAGGAAACGTATGAGAGTAAACATTTAAGCAAATGGTTATTACAACATACATACTATGAGATAAATTCAGTTTACCGGGATCTTTTGTTGTTGTTTAAAAAATTATATAATGTATTTCATAGCTTTATTCACTATTGAATATTAAAACTGTTTTATTTAAAACAGTTGGAAAAATAGCAATTTCTAACCCACACCAACACAATAGTATTTAAAGTGAAGAATTGTATAGATGATCTTTGTAATACATCTCTCTATCTGGAATTCTTCCATTTCCCTTTAACACCAGTCTGTCATTATAGACATATATAGTTCCAAAAGCATTGCTTTCTGGAGGAGTTTCTATAATCCCTTCAAGAGTCAAGTGATGGACTCCGTGAAAATCTAGACAGTAACCACCATAATGAAGGTGACCTGCAAGAAAACATACTACTGAGCGATGTGAATAAATGACAGCAAGGGCATCTTTATAATTCCAAGCCAGGCAAATACTGCTGGTGCAGTCTGGGTTGATGGGTATGTGTCCTGCAATACAAGAAGAAATGCACTCAAAATAAATGAAATTGTTAGTGTTTGGGGATAAACCCCCTAGCAGAGTGTGCAGCAGCAGT